GCGTAGGCAGGTATACATAGTACTACACGCGCGTGACGATAGGCATAGGCACACGAGATATCCGCATTGCGGTTACACGAGCTTTTTAACACTTTGTGCCCGTGCAAAGTGCGAGTGTGTGTACGATACGCACCACCGCAGCTGGTAAACATCAAACTTGTGTGCCGGCGACTGCTGCGTTGGTGGGTGTCGTCCTGTGCAAGCACAAAAGCGAGACAGGGAAGAGGACAACGATTACCAGGGGTAAAGGGGGAGTGAAAGAGAGAGAGATAGAGGGTTGATAGTAGGGAGGGATTGACGGAGAGAGAGAGAGCGAGAGAGCGAGAGAGAGAGAGAGAAAATCCAAAACATGGTTTTAGGTTTGGACCTGGTCTATGTATGTATACACGTATGTACCCATGGTGGAAGATCGCGGGACTAAACGCGAGCGGAACGCTCGGTACGCTCCTGGAATTGCATCTATTTTCAAGAGAGACCTCAGTCTCCTCTGATAAGCTATATACGCGTATATGTACATACACGCTGCACCCACATTGCCACGGACGTAATGTGTATATCGCAAGGGGAGATGTCGAGATGCATGCGCGATCTCTCGTGAGAGTCGAAACCGATCCGCTTTGAAACTACTGCCGTTTCTCCCCGCGTCGCAACCACCTATCGATGAATAGGAAAAACAAACCCCGGTGGTTTGTCCGCGCGACTATTCTCGCGGATCATCTCTGATACCTCGCAAAATTTGTTTTAGGTCCGAATTTATAGTCGTTTTTCACTTCTCAGTTCTCAACTGCTTATTGCATATCTTTGTGTTTCGTGATACATCATTCATGAAAATCGAAGATATATTTTTAAACGTTTCATTTCGTTGTTGATTAAGATTTTTTATAATTTCACTAAAGCGTCTACGGTCATTATGGTAGGCTTTTAAATTTTAAAAAGTCTTAATCAATAATGAAATAAAACGTTTAAAAATATATCCTCGATTTTCATCAATCATGTATCTCGAAACACATACATAAGCAACAAGCAGTTGAAAACTGAGAAACGAGTATAAATTCCACCTTATTCGCGTAAAGGTGCTTTCATTTACCCACCTCGCAATTGCGATTTTCTGTTCAAACGCGACAACGCGTACGATTCGCCGCACGAATTCGATCGAATGTTCCTGCTGAATTCGAGGTTTCTTCAAAATTCAGCGCTTCTCATCGATAATCTGATACAGGATAAACGGAATACGCAGGTACGTCACCGTGACTTTAATTCCGCAAGTTAAATTACTGTGTTAAACATATTGTTTACACGTCACTGAAGCATACAATACCGATTGTTTCTTCTCAAAGAGTCAAAGACCATGTTTAATCATCGTCGATGGTCGACGGCAACGACTATCGATTTTCTTATTAAAAAAGAGAAGAAGAGAAATAGGTGGTAGAGGAAGGAAGGAAAAACGAAATATGATGCAAATTCGTCTCTTTATATACCACGAAGTTAATTTTGAACGGGCAGGGTGTCAGGATGTTGTCACAGTGAGGTCCGTGTCTGCAAGATTGGCAAGAGGACGAGGAGGCAGAGAGGGAAGAAGAGAGTTCGATTGATCGCGGTACGAAGGACGATCAGCCAGCGACGAAAACGACGTATCCCTGACCAGGCCTTGAACGGGTGACTTTAATCTAAAGGCGCGCACACACTTACATAGATGCATCCCTCGCGATACGCTTCTTCTTCTGTTGGCTATTTCTTACCCTTCGTTCGTCCTTCAGCGTATAAAGTTTTTCCCCGTGGCAAAAAGAATTTTATCCGGCAGTCGGTTAACGTCAGTTTTACGAATCGGCCGACCCGACGACCCTGGCTTCGCGGCTCCGTGGTCCCTGAATAGAACCGCTTTTTTACGAACCAGCGTAATGGCTCTAGGTAGGAAGCCTGGACTGCAAAAAAACTGTTATTGTCGCGATAACTTTTCTTTTTTCCCTCTGCCTCTTTTTTAATACGCCGCTGTCCTTTCACCGCGATATATTGGCTAGCTTTTCCATTTCCTGAATTCGTCCTGTTTGAAAAGTACCTCTTTATTTATGGTTTCATTCTTTCGTGTACACAAAAACCTTCTACAGTTTATTGGATACTCGTTTACGCTAAACGTGCAGGAATTAATATTTTCATTCTCGTCTGCTTGACCCAAACACGTGCTAAAAACAAGACGCGAGCGCGTTTGATCAGGAATACACAAAGAACGCGTTTAAAACCAAGGGGAAGCGGAGAGTCGACATGGTAATCTGATGGCCGGGAAAAAAATAGAACGGTCGGTATTTTATCCCTTTAAACTCGACAGGAACGTCGAAGAAACACGGAACAACCCTGCTAGGAGGAGATCGAGAACAAACGGCTTAAGGTGGCCACCCCCTCGTCTCCTCGATTCTCTCCTTTGTCCAGGGAAGATCGTGTTATCGGTCGACAAAATATTGTTATCGTGCCGTAGCGATGGTGAATCACTGATGCGAGAACGCGCGCAGCACAAAGGGAGCCGTGCAAAAGGAAAGTCGATAACGATTGACCAGTAAACGTATTGACGAGAAGCACCGACGCGATGGCCAAAGTGAAACGGAACGAGAAATCGTGGCGGGCGTAAGACTTCCAGCTCCAATACGCCACGGGATTGCGACGCGTATGACCATTCGAAAGTTTCCACGTAATCGAAGTTATTCCGCCACTGTTTCGCATCGGCATGCTGCGTTGTTCACAAGATTATGCCCACTGAACAAAAACAATTCAAACTAATATTTTTAAACCTGTTTTTCCTTTTCAAATACACGTATTTTCTTTAAAAAAGAAAAAAGGAAAAAGAAGGACGAGACTGAAAATAAAAGGAATACGATATATCTACCATATATTTAACCTAATTAGAAATTAAGATGATGCAGAATATTTCAATTGTACAAAGAACGCCCAGCTAGATAAAAACCAGCTATCTACGCGAGAATAATTTAAAAGAACTTTCTATTTCTCCGTTATTGTAATCAATTGACAAAACATTTTTCCCATCCCTAAAAAAAAAGATATTCCATCCTGGTTTCAGCTACTGTTGAATTTACCGTGCCGAAGTAATGCGGTCAAAGAAACTACGAATCACGTATACACTTATCTTGCAGACGCTGTAACTACCCTAGAGAATCGGATGACGCGTTTTGCATGGGTTGTTTTAAACGGAACAACTTTAGAACTAAGTAATATGTATCGTGTTAATTTGACGAAAGTACGTCGAGGAGAATCGTTGAATTTCACTTTAAACCACATTTCCGACGAACGTAAAGGACGCGAGACGCTTAAAATAAATTCACTGTAATCGTATTAGCTCTTGCTCGCGTCAAGATCGCCTGAGATTAATTCTGTACGACGATACGAACCAACGAATTCGAAAATTACCCGGAATCCGATGAAACCAACGGCGATGGGAGCGAGTACGTATGTAACGTGAGAGCACTGGGTCATTTTCAAAATCTACGAGCCGTGCTTTCGATCGTCCACTTGTCTGTGTACTCGACACTACTCTAAGAACCTATGTCGATAACAAATACATGGAAAAGTCTTTTATCGGGAGCACGCTTAAAGGTTTCAGATAACCAATAGACAATTTAAAGGGCAAAGTTCTCGTGCGTTTCCGAGGGGAAAACAACCGACTCACAAAAAATAGAAGATGAATGAAGAAACAGAAGACTTTAAAGAGCAATGATAATTCGGCGAAAATCTCGTAACGCACGGACGTTAAGCCTAGAAGGCGAATGCTCGCGTTCTTCTCTTAAATTACTTTAGTACCGAATGAAAATGGCTCGTACCGCACCTTACACCTAAAATCAATACGGCCCTGAATCCCGTTCCCATTATCAAAGATGCTGGCTGCTGTATACGGATACGATTGCTCCCACAGTGTCGCCCATTGATAAATATTCCGAGGATGCGAGGAGAACAATTGCCGGGTAACGACGTCGCTCCGTGTCAACTTGCACCGATCTACTGACTGAGAAGACGAAGACGCTTTTGTTGCAGCCGAGCACGTAGCGAACATTAGCGCGTTACATGACGACGATTGTAAGAGCTGACGATAGCGTTCCAAGCAGACGGGTATTGCATCCTCGGAAAAAATTTAGCTCCGGATCCTACAAATCACAAACATTCTTGGCACGCAAACGCGATACGTGCCACCCGTTCCGAGTTCAACGCACTCATCGCATTCACTGTTTACGAGTTACATTACACAAATATTTTTCAAAACGTAATCCATGGAAATTCGATTTTTTCCGAATGCGAGGTACATTTGCCAGATCTATTTTTATTAGATACGTGAACGCACATTTGTACCTCTTCGAATTAATGGAGTATAAATACATGCCTTTGTCTTCTAATCGACGAAACAATTTGCAGCGGTGTCGTCGACACCTTTGAGTTTACGTGTGCCATTGCGTGCGCATCAAACATTTATTGCACACGTACGTGGCCTCAGATTAACCGGGAATTCGATGCGATTGTAAGTACAGGTACTAGAGAAACAGATTTCAATCGCAGCATGAACATAATAAGCGATCTCGATTTACCATTTTGGAGGCATCCCTTGAAAAAATTATACGAACTCGGGATACGCTGATCCGTCACGCGCCGAGTGAATGAAAACTCGCTAGCATGCTCCATTCTAAGCGTTACCCTCGTGCTGCGCCGGGACCATTACTAATTGTAAGTTCACACAGAAAAATCGCTTGACACCGAACGCGCACGCACTTCTTCCAAAGTACTCTTTGAAGTCGATAATATGACAAAGATGTTTTGTTTGAAAGAAAACCATGCGAAAAACAATATAAATCCTACGGTAACTGTGCGTATCGAAATCACAAACGTTCGTCACGGAGGATAATGAACCCCACAGCTTGTATCGGTTCAGGGAGAAAAAAATTAACGACTGTGAAATACATTTATGTGTCCGTCGATGAAACCAAAACGATGCTGCTCATTATACTTACCGCAATGCAGTCATCTCCACGCTTGTATCATGCAGAGGTTTCCTCCTTTGTCGCTGCGAGTTTCGTGAAACGGGGGTTGAATAAGGGCTGCTGCTGTCCACGACAGGAACCACCGCATAACCAAGAGTCACGTTTCTCTATCAGCACATCGGTTTTGCAGAACGTCACTTTCTACACCGCACCACACGCGTCTCGATCGAATGTACGCGACGAGTCACCGTCTGCTTTCTCAAGGGTACGTCCAGCAGCTGCAAGAAACGCGGAAACAGAATGTTTTTCGAGCTTGCAGAGCCGCCGAATCGATGTATGATGTTACACTTCCCAGCTGTCTTTTTTGATTCTGCGGATGTGCCCGCCGCTATCGCCATCTGACGACGACTGTGGCAGACCATTCCGTTTCGAAATTTGCCGGGAATTATTCAAATTAAACGATTACATATAATTAATTGGGTGATCAAAACGTAGATGAACGGTTTTCGATACAAAATTGTATACGAGAATAATAGAAAAATTAGTGAAAATGTTTTTCTTTATTAAGTAGTCATGAGTCATGATATATTGAAGTGGGTATAAAATGTATCTAACTTTTTTAAACAGATTATACAGCATGATATAATTTATTTATATATGTAGGATTTAGTTTGCATAATATCATAGAACATAATTTATCTTATAATCTTAACCCTCAGATATCTTAGCATTCTGTAGCCACACGGGTGCAAATTGAAATTTTGATTTTCTATAGCTCTGTATTTGCAATGACAATGAATCGCGACGCAATGAATCCGAATTATCTTACGGAGTAAAATTTTCCGACATCATAACTTTGTAAGCCAAAAAAAAAATTTTTTTTGTAACTAAAAATTTTCAATCAAAGACGTTTTTGAAAATTTATCGGTCTAATTTGGCTGTAATTTTACACCTGTGTGGTATCTGAGAAATTAATGTAGACCAAAGTTACAAACATTTTGTTTGCATATTCTATTGCCGTCAGTACAGTAAAAATACAGGCATCCTTGTAATCGATATACATATATTACAAGATATATGCTTCTATATTTACATTACATAAGTAAAGAGAGGTAAATCGAAGTTGTAATAAGCCACGCAATTTTTTCTTTTCCTTTCTTCGCCTTACATTACAATATGCATATGTTGATAAAATCATTTGTGTATACATGACATTAAATATAAGAAATTAAGTCACTTTATTTGCGAACTTCAATCAAAATTTTTATTGAAATAAGAATAAATAAAACTTTTCGGTAAAATATGTGAATCCTAGTGTAAGAGAAAACAATTAAGTAAATATGTAGCTGTCTCGGAAAGTGGATGATTAATAGCTCCAGCTTCCTCGACTAAATTCTCGTAACAAAAATATTACACGAATTTCAAACTGTACTGCTTTTTTGAACATATTGTTTCATTCCCAATAAATGATTAATACAAGACACAGAAAATCGAAATCGAAAATCAATATCTAAGGCCATATAATTTCTGTCATAATAATATTTATTATCTAAACGGGACGTATCTGTTTACAATAAAATAAGCTGTACAAATAGGATGGAATGTTTCATTAGCTTTTTTAAATGCTAAGTATTCTTTTAGAATGCTCGCCACTTTAATGAAATAACTATTATTGTACAGAACAGGCATTTACAAGTAACTGTAATTACTGCATGTCTGATTATTAACATCATTCTATTGACATGCATGGTATATCACTTTTGATAAAGAACTCGACTATGCCCATTTCCTCATATATTGTCAAAATGTACAAATAAATTTTGCTTTTCAAGCAAATTCGCTTCAATTTCGTTTTATCTTATTTAATGCTATATATATGAACTAAGCACAGCACAACGTGAATTCTTAGAAGAACATACAAGAAGAACATTATCCTATATGCAAAAGTTTTGATTTATTGTATAAGTGAATCGTATAACAGATACGTCATTTAAAAAAAAATAATTTACATTCAAATAAGCAGATATCAAATGAAATAATGTATTTCATAATAAATACAATTCAAAATAAAAGAAATTTTTAATTCTTCTTGCTACATCTTCTAATAACATACATCGTTTTCCAAAACTCCCTTTTCTTTGTACATTTTTTACGACTATATATTTTTAATCAACAAAACGTACTTTTAATGATCGGTACTATAAAAGAAAATACTTGCACGTATGAATTAAACAGATTAAATTCTTTTATGTAAAACTGGGTAAAAATGCTTTTTTTATTTTGAAAGCGGTTATGAAATGAAAGAGGTGAGTGCTAAATGGTCTCATAATTCTTCAAGAAAATACATTCTATATTTACTTGTATAAATCCGGAATATCATATTATAGAAAAACTTGCTTTAAAATGAATAA